CAATTGACTTTTTACCTCCATATTTTATTCTTTGGTCGAGACGAGAAGCATGCCACATTGACTCTATCATCGACTTAATTAATTATATTGTTGTTTAAATAATATTATCTTCAAAAATGCTTTTTTCTTCTTTTATATTGATAGTTACTAGAATATTTTACATAATTCTTTTTATTTTAACATTTACTTTAAAAATCTATATTAATTGCTCACTAACTTGATGATTTGAAAATTAATCCCGACACCATCATGATGTTTCGATTAAGTGGCCATTAAATTTCTCTTTTACCTTATATATTATAGATCAAAATGCAAGATGTACCACATATTTTGCAATGTCTTATAGCATATGGTTGTTTAATCTTTTAGTCATATCGTTTATTTTGGTACTGAGTACGATATTAGCTTCTTCTTATCGGATTTAACCATTTTTGTGGACTACTTTCTTTCAAACGTATGATCTTCTTTAATTCGTGAAAAAAACATATCTATTCGAATTTTTTTTCTCCTTTTCTTTGTTTTGTGGGGTTTAGAAGGTGGGAGGTGGCTGACTTTAATAAACTAAACTAATGGATGTTGATTGTGTATGCATCACTATAGTAAGAAAAATGTAAAATCAGAGCTGACGTATGTGTCCTGTGTTGGTTGGATTATTCATTTAATTGTACGCCTCTCTTATTTGATTGAGTCCGAAACTTAAATGATAATTTTTTGTACAAAAAGTACTTTTTTAATGTTATAAAAAAAAAAGGTACATTAATGGGTATTTCGCAATTTTATACTGCGAATTGGGTTAACGGATTTTTTGCCGTTAAGGCATTTCGCAGTATAAAACTGCGAAATATTAAAAAAATAATTTTTTATGATATTTCGTAGTACAGTACTGCGAAATAGGCTGATTTTAGGCCCCACCAATAATTAACTGACATAACAATAATTCAAATACATAAAACGCAGTATAATACTGCGAATTACTTTGAAAAATTGTACACCCCAAGGTCGGACTTGCCTTATTTATAGGCGCTTCAATTTTATAAAAATTCATTCAACACTTAAACTTCAAACATACGTTTATTCTCTCTTCTCCTTATCAATCAATTTTTTACAATGTCTGAAGTGCCAAAAATAAGGGTTTCACTGTATTGGGGGGTGAGATTGTGGTGGAGAATAACTCTGTGAGGTATAGCTCACCTCCACAGTGTCATGTTAAATTGCCGCTTAATATGGAGTACGATACATTGGTATCGTTGCTACGTAAAAAAATGAGTGAGCGGAGGCGTTCGGTTAGCCTTAAAGTAACCGGTAGATTTCCTTATTCAGTGACTCCGCAGGGGTTTGCTTATTATTCTGAGTTTAACATCGAGGATGATGAAACTCTTAGAGATTTTTTGCGGATTCCGGATGAATACAGGGAATTTATTGTAATAAAATTATTGGAAATGTACGTCAAGGTGGAAGACGTTCCTAGTAATGAGGGCGTACATAGCAGGGATAACCCCCAGTCATCGGGTGGTTATTCTGGAGCAGCATTTGCCGGACAGATTGGAGATGAAAGAGCTTGCCTTGATTTAAACTTGTCACCACAGGCGAATGAGCAGCCAGAAAATAATATTTCCACTTTATATAATCAACAAGACGATTGGTAAACTTCAATTTTACTACGTTTTAGCGGATTTTTTTCATGTTTTAATTGGATTTGTATTAACACTCATATTTTTTATAGGGGGTACCGTCCGGATTTGAATTTTACAAGTTATAACCTCGCCCCTAGTTGGAATCTGCGTAGGTCTGGAGTATTAGACCACGGTGGTCCATCTGGGAGTTATCACCAACCTGAAAATATCCATCATGAAACGTCAAGACAATACGATTTGTAAGTAAAGTGATATAGCGATATCTAGAGTATTTTTCCTGAGTATTGGGTAACTTAGGTTTTTGTTCGTTTTGTGCAGTGAAAATGAGCTTCTTGAAGCTCCTGGCCTCACACAGTTGCCCATAAACGACGTTTTTACTCGTGATTTGGCTGATGCGCAGAGTCAGGAGGATGATAGTGATTATGACAACAATGCGGATGAGTCTGGAGATGAGACACCCTTCCATGATGAGGGTGATGAGGAGGAGGAGGAAATGAATGTTGAACCTGAGCTGACTAGGGAGCATGTTCCTCTACCTCCCGCTAGAACAAGAGTGTATGAGTCCCACGTGCCATTTCATGAGCGAAATATTCCCTACCTTAATAATTTGCCAAGCATGCCTAACGTTGATGCCCTAACAAGGGATGATGATGAATTACGGTCAGTGATGTGGGATGAATCTAGACCAGCTGTTCTTACAAAGGGCATGTATTTCCCCGATAAAGCTCGCCTAGTTAGGGCTGTAAAAATCTACAGTATAAGGGAGTGTCGTGAGATGACGGTAAGTGAGTCAACTACGGAAAAATACAAGGCTGTATGCCGTAGGTGGTTTATGGGTTGTCACTGGATGCTGCGTGCCACAAAGAAAAAATCAGGTTTGTGGAAAGTGGGTAAATTTATTAGCGAGCACAGATGTGAAATGGACACATTCAATGAGAACCACTTCAACTTGGATGTGGACTTGATTTCCCTTGTCTTGATTCCATTTTTGGAAGTGTCCATTAGGTTCAAGATTAAAGAGTGTATTACAGCCGTCCACCAGGAGTATGGTTGTACTATAACCAAAAGAAAGGCATATCTAGGTCGCAAACGTGCCTTTGAACTTATTTATGGCGACTGGGATAAGTCTTTTTCAAATTTGCCCAGGTACATGGCTGCACTGCAACACTTTAACCCCGGGACTGTTGTTGAATGGAGGCGTGAGCGAAGTCCGAACAGACCGGAATATATATTCAACTATGTATTTGGTCATTTAAACCAACAATTGACGGTTTTGTGCATTGTCGTCCTGTAATTTCCATAGACGGTACTCATGTCTATGGAAAGTATGATATTAAGCTTTTGATTGCAGTTGATGTAGATGCCAACGGACAAATATTTCCACTAGCTTTTGCCATTTGTGCCAACGAAAGTGAAGAGACGTGGACGCAGTTCTTGAACCACCAAGCAGCACGTTGTCAAACAGCGTTCAGGTATTTGTCTAATATCTGATCGGCATGGTGGTATTTTAAGTTCTGTACGTCACTTGCCTGAATGGCAGGAACCATACGCATACCATCGTTACTGTGTGAGGCACCTGAAGGCCAATTTCCAGAAGAAATTTCCTGACAAGGCGTTGCATGACTTAATTTGGATGGCTGCAACTGAGCACCAGCAGTGTAAATTCACGAGGCGCATGGAAGCGATCCGGCAGATAGAACCACGAACCTATACTTGGTTGATGCAACATGACCCTCAAATGTGGACATTGCATGCTGATGGCGGGAGACGATGGGGAGCCCTCACTACAAACGTGTCGGAGTCATTCATCGGCTTGTTGAAGTCTGCCCGTGGACTGCCTGTCACTGCCATGGTCCACATGACTTTCAAAACAGAGGCAGAGAGGTTTGTTGAAAGGCATGCAGCTGCATCGTCATTGATGGACAGGGGTGTTGAATTTATGCCAATACCCATGACAAGATTTGAAAGGTACAGGAGGCGGGCATAGTGGCATTCATTTCTTCAGTATGATCATGAACGGGGTATTTTTGAAGTAAAGACCGCTATCAACGGACACCGTGGGAATAATCTACAGACGGTGAATGAAAATAGAAGGTTATGTTCATGTGGGAAATGGACCATCTACCACATGCCGTGCCCATGCATTGAAGTGCTTTCAACAAGTTGGATATGGGGCAACAAACTACATTGATAGGCAATACAGTGTTGCAGCATACGTAGACACGTATAGTGGGAAGTTGCATCCATTAGGTGCTGAGCATTATTGGCCGCCGGAACCTTTTAAGTTGGTATGTAACAAGGACTATTTGCGCAAGCTGAAAGTGCAAAAGAGAACGCGTATACGGAACCAAATGGATGTTGGTGAGTCCGTTTATGCGCGTAAATGTGGCATATGCTCTCAAACTGAACATGACCGTCGTAAGTGTCCTTCAGGTGGTGGGCGTGGCGGTGGTAATCCTGGTGCAAGTTCGTCCAATGTACCCAACTATCAAGCATACCCCTAGTCCTTTATTTTGAAAAAGCTGAGAAGCATGTGAAAATCCTGTTTCGTGTCAGGGTCATTTATTATGTTATTCGTAGTATAATACTACGTTTTGTGGATTTGACATGTCCTGCTGAAAAAGCTGAGAAGCACGTGGAAACTCTGTTTTAAGTCATTGAAATTTACTATGTTATTCGCAGTATTATACTACGTTTTTGCTTGAAATCTTGACTATAAATAACGGTTGCATGGTGCTTATATTTTTCGCTTAACAATAACCAAAGTTTCTCTATAAGAAATGTCTGCACAAAACGTTTATGTCCCAAGGTGCTACTACAGAGAAAAATGCAGTTTGTTCAAATGGTATCCAGAAGGTGCACGCCGCTACTGGGCATGTAAGAACAAGCTCGAGGAGTTACCCGGCAAGCCTATATGTGACTTTGAGGTTTGGATGGACGAACCATGTAAGCAAAAGCGCTACAAAGAAACAATTTATGAGCTTCATTGTTTATGTCATAGCCAAGCGGAGAGCGAGCGTCGAACCAATGAAGAACTCGAGGCGTTGAAGGCCAAACTCAACGAGGCAAAAGAAGAGAAAAAAAAACCTGGAAGAGCAACTCGAGTGGTTGGAGCGAATTGTAAGACACGATCGTGATTAAATAGTAGCTTATTTTAATAAGCGTACTAGTGTATTTTCATGTTTCCATTGTCATGTGTTTGTAGCAGTTGTACTGTCATGTATCTTTAGATTTCCCGCTTTTGTGTTTGTGTTTCATTTTCTAATAAAATTCATGTTCAAATTATGTTTCTTGTTCAAATTCTGCTTCAATAAAAAATATGTCAAAATATGCAAGTCTAAAGCTGTCATGTGGAAATTTAAAATGTTATGTCCGGAAACAAGACACACCCGAAAAGCAGGAGCAACGCCAACCGAGTGTACGCTGAATCCAAAGATGCTCTATCTCGTGGGTAATATCTGGGTGCAATACCGCCATCTGATCTCTAATGAATGATAAAGCCACGCGACTGCCACCCCGATCACCCTGCGGTCTCGAACCAGTCAACTGCCCCATCATGTCCGCCAACTGTGCACGTGTCATCCCTCTCCAGTGGTGGGGCAGTGTGAAGGCGCGCCCCTCTATGCGCAGTCCATATAAAACCTGGACATCCTGCAACGTGATAGTAGCCTCTCCAGTGGGCAAGTGAAATGTATGCGTCTCCGGTCGCCACCGCTCTACCAAGGACATTATGAGCGACCAATCAAGCTGCATCCGTCCAAGCTGAAAAATGGTATATAATCCCGAAGTCTGGAGGATCTCTACTACGCGCGGATGGAAACGATGCTCCACAATAAACTCCCACAAATCATCAGGCCTCCTAGGGCGGAGAGGCTGCATCGCTAGCTGTCCCTCCCAAACATAGGATGACCTATGGTCGCCCTGCAGCACTAGTAGCTGATCCTCGGCAGGTCCAGGATGCGCAGGCGGAGGAAACGCCATGTCGTCTACTATAATTTAAACAAAATTAATTGTTTGTGTTAGTGTAATAAATTAAATTAAGTATGATTTTTGAAATTGGAGATAATAGTTATGTATGGGTTCCAGGCTTGATTTTTGACGCCCGGTGCCACCGAATAATTCTTAATTATTATAAGTCTCAATTTCAATATTTTTAGATTTTTATTAACTTAATAAATTAAATTAAGTATGATTTTTGAAATTGGAGATAATAGTTATGTATGGGTTCCAGGCTTGATTTTTGACGCCCGGTGCCACCGAATAATTCTTAATTATTATAAGTCCCAATTTCAACATTTTTAGATTTTTATTAACTTAATAAATTAAATTAAGTATGATTTTTGAAATTGGAGATAATAGTTATGTACGAGTTCCAGGCTTGATTTTTGACGCCCGGTGCCACCGGATAATTCTTAATTATTATAAGTCTCAATTTCAACATTTTTAGATTTTTATTAACTTAATAAATTAAATTAAGTATGATTTTTGAAATTAGAGATAA